CCTTCCGTTCGTCAAAGGTAGGCCAAGCCAGCGAGCAATGAAGCAGCTAATGCACGTAAAGCGAGGCGTAAAGTTCACGTCAAGAATCGAGAAAAAAAGGCCACTGATTGCAACTTTCCACGCACCGATTGTAGTGTCCATGAGCAACCAAAATCACATCGCCGCCCCGCTTCATCACATTTTCATCGTGCGTCGTCTCTGGATGCCCTTCGATGACTGCCTTTTGAAGCACCCGAATCTTTGCAATGACACCATCCACCCTGTCGGACATGTGCTGCGCGCTCTCCCCGGGCAAGTCTGGATTGGAGGGGTGATTGGGCGTGCCATCGTTCCAAATGTCCCAACCTGCATGCTTTTCCCTAATCTCGTTCGTCTTCAAGCCTTCGTACGCCCCGTAATCCCACTCTCTGCACTCTTGCAGCGTCTCTACGGCCACTACGGCATCCCGCTCCTCCTTGCTCAAGTGCGACATCATCAGCTCCAGCGTTCGTTGGGATCTCTTCCTGGGACTGCAAAAGATGTGCGAGACGTGACGAGGGTCGACCAGCTTGCTGCCGTCCGTTCCCACAAATGTCGGCGCCAAGGCGAGCATGACGCTCTCGCCACGAGCAGTCAGTGGAATGTCGCTGCGACCAGTGTGCTGGCCCGACAGCGACCATTCCGTCTCGCCATGGCGGGCGAGAATCACTCTAGGCATGCGAATGGGTGGAGGCACCATCCTGAAGCTGGCGTGGAAAAGGTGGGTGGCGAGGCGGTTGTAGTGATGGCTCTGTGCCTGGAATCCATCGAATGCCACGCCGCGCTACGAGCGAACAGGGGCGGACCAGCGAACGCGCTAGACTTGCACGTGCACTTTGCTCATCCGAAGCGCGTCGCGTCGCGTCGCGTCTCGCGCAAAGTGAGGCAGCACGCCGCGATGGAGGGTTCAGTGCGATCGGTAGACCTTTTAGCGTTCAGGCCTCTGCTGCCGCGCGGCGTGCGAAAGCACGTGCGAGGTGACATCGTCTTGTCGAAGGTCGCGAGAGGATCTAGACGGTCACAAGAGGGGGCCGGCAGCGCAGGGTGATGGAGTTTACGCACGCGAGAGAGCGAGAGGGTCTAGACTGTCACGAGAGAGGCCGGCAGCGCAGTACATCGAGGAAAGGTCAAGCTTTACGAAGCTCAATCGACTAATGCACCGGTACAAAAGGATGGCCAGCCGAAACAAGAAAAGCAGCCGGCCGCTCCTGGCAAGGGGCGAGCTGCGCACGGACGCAGGGCGCTGTTCGAAACTCTGTGAGCACAAAAAAAGGCAAGCCATCCGGGATGCGCCACGTACGCGCGAGACGTCATGCACCAGTTGCGAATGCCCTATGCTCAAGGGCTAAACTTCCAGTTGGTGGCTAGCACCACTGTACTAACCAGCCCGGGCACGACACACAGCAAGAGCGCGCGGTACATATACTCCAAACCATCGTACCGCGCGTTTGACCTCATTGGTTTTTTGTTCTTTTTCTTGCAAATACCACTGCTGAAGCTGATACCAAGCCGGTC